TACATAATTAATCAATAATTTATATAATAAATGCTTCAACCGCAGAAAAATTAATCGCAATTAATTTTTCTAGTCATCTCGACTTGTCAATCTTAGCAACGCTAATGCATAAACGCACAATAATCCATACATGCTTTATTCCGCGGCGTTTCCGATTTATCCGACAACGCATCACGCGAGATGAGGGTGCGCACATTAATCCGTGGTCCATTCTAATTAATTTCGTAAATCTCGGGGATAAGAGAGGGACCGATCAGCGGTAGATCAAATAAGGCTTTCCATATTTTAACACGAGCGAATCACCGCGAATAGAGAAAGCGTGGCGTGTCAGAGCCGATCGCACAACGCGGTAGCATAACTGGTATTGTTATCGTAGTTTACCACAAAGGCCTGCAAATGCCGGCTTGCAATGGAAAACCGACTACCCTGCACACGACGCGTCTAAACAGATGCGGAAATATGATGAATTTTCCTCCAGCGTATGAGTACACGTGTTTGTACGCCTGCAAATAAGTACATCGAAGCCTCAGAGAGATTCCAAGAAAAAGCATTGAAATAAAAATAAATCTTTGTTTTTAAGAGATTGTTTTATAAAAAAAGATATGTATTGCAGTATCCAAAATTGATTCCACTACATTAACGATTTAAGATTTATTATGGGAACTGATTTTCTGTCGTTCATTTTTCTTTTTTAAAGATTAAAATCGTCTCTCTACATTTAAAGAAAAAGGCACATAGTAACTATTATGTATAGACATAGTAGATTATATTTTCTAAATTTTCTGAAGTGAAATCTGCATAAAGAATGAAAATTGAGTCAGTCTTGAGAAAGAGTGGTTCAATTTTCGATCAATTTTCAAGAGATTTTACTCTTCAGAGATTCATTAAAAAAATTTTAGAGAGTAATTATACAAATTTTATGCAGAATTATACAATATATAGTTAAATAAACTATTTTATAGTTATTGCAAATAAATAAATCTGAATGGGGTGTAAGTACTAATAAATTATAAGTATTAATAAATTATATAATTGCACAAATAACATGAGTCATAATATTTTATGCCACTAGGAGTGGCATCGAAGGATTAATTATATAAATATACAGTTTTTGATATTTTAACAGTTTAATTTATTCATTTATAAGTTCCTTCGAATATATATTTCCCGCTTAATAATTACACATCTATAATAATGTGATCATTCAGACACTGCAGAATTAATCCATGCAGTTTCTATCGAGAATGATACGTTTATCAATTCGTGAAGCGAATTAAATCTCCAACGCAGGGACAAATCGCGTTCATAAAGCTTCGGTCTTCAAAGGCTACGGCCATTAATCTTCGATTAAGTGCTCAACGATCGGTCAAGGTAATTTCACGAGTTTTCCTGAATTAGGAAAGACCGTCTCACCCTCCTGATGACCGTGGCCCGGTATCCATGCTTCATTCCCTTCGTTACCGTGCCGCTTTCTTTCTTTCCATGAGGGGAACCACCGTCTCTCTGTCAGCCACCAGTATGTCACCGTACAGACCAGCGCGTCAGTACAATGAGGGCCAACTCTAGCGATCGATATGTGCACTCGACGGAAACGACTCAACGGAAGGTCGATCGAAATGAAATCACTATGTCCGCGACTTCACGATGCGCAAAAAAAAAGAACAAAAAATATCATATGTTCGAACAATAACATAAGTCATTACGAATTTGATCCGTCAATCTCACTTGCATCTACACCCACAAGTTGATATATATTTTGGAAGAAAGATGTCTCGTTTTTGCGAAATGTGGAATGAACGATTAAAATTATATTCCTACGAAAAGAATGGTTTTCCTGGAGTATCTAGATTTAGCTAGATACAAATCTGAAAATAATTGTTGGACTATCAAAATAATTATGTAGGACGCTTAAGTATGATGAACAATATTGAAAAAAAATTTTAATATTCTAGCAACCATCTTGAGCGTCATACATAATTATTTTAAAGTCATTTTTAGATCTATATCTAGCTGAATTTTTAAATACTTCAATAAAATTGTTTTTTCCGTATATAAATAATAATTAATGACAAAAATTTGTTTAGTGAAAAAGTAATTGATACATGAAAATGATGTGATAACTTTTAATAATATAATAACATTCTGTGGTATTAAAAAATTTTATTATTTATGATATTTGATATTCAGTATTGTTAAAAAAAAGTGCATCCAATTCTTTCCCAAAGAAATATTCATTTTTTGGATATGTTTATAAATTTATATCGAATTTAAATATTTTAAATTTACTTTGACAGAAAATAGGATCATTTCTCTTCATTGACTTATCGATCTGATTTCAAATTATAATTATAATTATTTATTTCCAAGTTAATCAACAAGAATTTCTAACTGAAGTTCCAATATATTTTTTGAAAAACATTCTGCAACAAAGGTAACAAAGTAAGCGGTGGAACTGTTTGTCGCGCCTGTTTATACATTATTATCTATTTTTTTTTAAGTTACTAGGTATGTGAATGGAATGTAAGCTCTCGGCAAAAACTAATTGAACCCCCCAAAATCCAACACCTTTATGGATGCTGGCCGTCTGTCATGTGCTATGCACACATTGATATATTGTCCGCATAATGGCGCCATTGAGGCATTACTATTATTGGCGAGATTTGGGGAAACGTTCGAGCGTGCTAACGGATTCGTTGCAGCTTGCACGCTGTTTGCAAATAGATCTTGTATAGGAAATTATTGTTCACACAGCAGTAGTTTTGATGAATCAGTTCGTCTGCATTAGCAATACGAGAATACGTTCTTTGAACTTTATTTGAATAAGAGTTAAACTTTAACATCTGATTTAAAAATAATTAAAATAATAGTAATAGTTAATAGCCTTAATTTTTGAAATTCAAATCAAAGAAGAAAATGTTATTTTTCCGTTTGTATAAAATAATTTTTAAAAACTTAATAAGATAATTTGACAAAAAAAAATATAATTATAATAAATATATAATTAAAAGATTAAATATATAATCAATAAAAATGAGATAATAAGGAATAAATATATGATGTAATTTCTAATTGAAAAATCTATCGCAATAGTTAATCATAAATCAATATTATTACAATGAACGGGTAGATCTCGCAAGTGAAGTGAAATTTTCTCAAGGACTAGACAGGAAAATATTATCCTTCCATTTTGAACGCTCCGAAGAACTGTTTTGACAGATCTTCCGTTGCCATTTACTCCGTTTGATCGAACGATCGATTTTACTTATTTATTTTGCTAACACTTGGCCGTCACGCTATAAGGGGATGCCTACTTGCTCTCGTTATGCAAATTGCTTTCTTTATAAAAATGTTTTTGCATAATAATGAACGAATGTTATTCAAATTAATGCAATAAAATTTGTGTACAACCACGGAAAATTATTGCAAAAATCTATTTTTACGTTAGTTATTATAAAAATGTTATTTTATTATTGTATATCATTGTATTAATTATGTCTTTATTTTAATCGATTACAGAGCATTTTTATCTCGTTCTTAAAATAAAAAAAATTGTTAATATACATCATTTAAAATAAATTTTACACCTTATTTATGCTTATAATGTATTGCTCGTTATTTTATTCAAAATATTATAACATAAATAACGAGAACAAATAACAAGTAATTGAAGCTATGAAATTGTATAAGAATAATGAGAGAACTTATTTGAAGATCACCAGCTAATTGTGAAAATTGGTTATTCAATACTCACATTGATTCAGTCGAATCATTGTCATCTTTTACATGTAATCTCACGGATTACATGGGTAGATTTAACTTCAGACACGATCTGATACATCTGCTCTGCAGTGGTTTCAATGCAGGACGCGTGTCCTGGCACGTGCCTGTCCATTCTCAAGTCACTATTCCATTCCTATAAAGTGGATCAGAGCATTTCGTTGGGAGAACAGGGTTTATAAATTGCGACTTCTGTAAGTATCCTAATTTTGATCTTTCAATCTTTCATAAAATAATAAAAAATAGTGACATAATAGTAAAGTATATAAACAATGTTACATTTTTTTTATAGATTAAATTGTATATATGAAATTAAAATCAAAACTTTTTTTACTTTAAAATTTTATACATAATTCTATACATAAATGTATTATAATTAATAACATGTAAATAGATGTAATTAACACGTATATATAGATAGAAAAAATGGCTCGACACGAAATTTAGGTAAAATATGTAATTTTATTTATCAGATATAAATTATATACAATATATTCCCTGAATCAGTAGTTGCGTATTAAAATAAGAGCACTGATTGGCATTTGCACGCACGTACATACGTACATACATATATATATATATATATATATTTTTTTTTTTTTTTAACTTAAAAGCTCATATATAAATATACCTTAAGATATGCTGAACAAAAATGAGATCGAGCGTTCGAGATCAACTAAAAATATTGCTGACTAGAACAAAAGGAACGCAGTTAGTATGGTATTTAAAATAAATCCATTATTAATTATCTATAATTAATGGTAAATCCAACATTTTTTCTTCTTTTCCGCATTATGAAATGTTAAATTAAACTTCTAATATTAGTATAAAAAAAGCTCTTGAAATAATTTTGAAATAAAAGCGTCAAATCTTGGATTTACATATTATATTAAAAAAATATTATTTTTGTTTTAATTATATACTTCACCATCTTTCTGATGATTAGCAAAAAATACTTATTGAAGATAAAAGCAGAAGAAAAAGTTGAAGAATCATTCTAATCGACTTACATTGTAAGTAAAAGCGATACTCTTTCCGAATAAAATATTCTCTCTTATAAAGTAGATAACGATAATTATAGCACAGTCCTTTCTTTTTACAATCACGTCAGCTCTTTGGAAAAAAAAAACACTCTTCATCGAGTTACACTCTTCATTGAGTTATACTCAATTTCTTTCTTTGAATAATTTTTTTGATTAAGTTTTCCAGGACATAATCGTTCTTGTATCTTTTCCATTATTTGTATTAAGATAGAGAGATTGAGCTGAATCTTATGAGTAAAGATAATCAACGCTGAAAAAACCAGCTCATTTAACCAGCCCATTTTTAAACCATTAAATAAAATTTATCTGCATTTTGACATCTAAAGACACTGGTACATGTTGTGATGAGGCATGTGATGATGAGATGGCGGTGTTAGCTGAGGACGATGAATCTGATACATCCTCTGGTCGTAGCAAGGTTGATACTGCATCGGTGGACTCACGCTTTGATCGCTGTAGCAATCATATTCCTGCCATTCTGGCGCGACGAATCGTTCCTGAGGTGGATACGGGAAACTCGCGGTATGTTGAGGTCCGAGCCTCTTCTGGGCCGCGACCGCGCAGCTTCCAGTTGACGAGGTGATCATGTTGCCGTTCTCAGTAATACTGACGGTAACATTGCCGACGTTCACCGTGATCTCACCGCTGTCAGCGTTGCCCAGAGTCTGTGACAGCGCCCAGATATAGTTATGAGCAAAACGGAGAGTCTCGATCTTAGTGAGCTTCGTGTCCTCGGGAAAGGTCGGCAGGGCCATCCTCAGACGTTCCAGGGCGTCGTTCAGAGTATGCATTCTGTGACGCTCGCGGTCGTTTGCCTTTATTCGCCGGTTTCTCTTTAATCTGAGCACCTGTTTGCAGAAGGGATATTGTGAGAAGGAATCTTTCCGGAAAACCTATTCTGAAAGAGTGAGCTTAGAAAAGCAAGCAGACAGATAAATAAAACCTCTAATTGGATTGACCATCACAAGTAAAAAAATTAAAAGAAACATAAATAGAATTTAATTTTTCTTTTTTAAAGAATTTTAATTTCTTTTGCAAAAAATTAGTGTCTACATCTAAGCCACTCTCCCGTCTCTCAACTTAATTATTAAGTCAAATATATTAAGTCAAAAAATTCAATAGACTTTCGTATTAAACCGTTACAATTCCATTTAAATTTTATTATTAAAAACAAAAAAAATTTAAAATAATTTGCACTAAAGAGCAGAAGCGAAGAAGAAAGGCTAAAAGTTAAAAGAACTGAATGCAGAAAACTGAAAAGCATTTAAAAGAAATTCAATGAATTAATTAAAACTATTTTATCATAATAATATCTAAAAAATATTTGAATATTTAAATTGTATTTTAAATTAACTTTTAAATTTTTGTTGTTTAGAAAACTTTTGAAAAATTGTATTTAGTGCGTAAAAATTTTAGATAAATTAAATTTTTTATAGATAGATTAAATATTGAGAGCACTCATTGATTTATATACCTGCGTGGGACTTTTGCAACGAGTGTTTCGCGTTTTTTTGCGCTTCACTTCTTTAGCTGGAGGGAAGAGAGTATCCGAAGCCACCCTCGCTGCAGAATGAGTACTCTGACGACATTGCTGTATCTTGCTGTAACGCAAAGCAATGAAACAATTTTCACACTTCTGCTTTTGTATCTTCTGCACGTATATAAATTATTATAATCAAGATATTTATTTAAAAAAATAAAATATTTTTAAAAATATATTTTTTATTTAATTGTATTTTAGTTCTTAGTTTTTAAAATTTCTAAATTAAATTACACCTTTTAGAATCTCGGAGAAGGATTTTAACGCGCTTTTTTTTATCGAGCTGTTTAAAAAAATTTTGCAGAATACATTTTCACGTACCATGTCAAAATCCAAACTTGTGGTTTGCCAAATATTTTCAACTTTTAGTAAATTAGAAGCAAAACGAATTTCCCGAAATGACACACAACACAGAAAGAGCACTCTTGGAAAGTAAGAATGAACATTAATAGAAATTCATATTCACGTAACGGCGATTGGAACGAGAAAATAAGAATTCACCGACGAGCGGACTAGGCGGGGTACAATTTGGTACTGTGCATGTGGCAAAGGGCTCTTAGAACATATATACCGTCCCGGGGGTATTTCGTCCCCTCCATGAAGTCTGGGCCACTGTAAGGCTCTATGGGGCACCGAGAGAGTTCACCCCATAATCACCATAGAGGGGTACGTCTAGCGTTCTCCCCGCTTCGCCTCGTGTATGCATTAGACGCGTGCCACGGCGATGTAGCCGCCTTGTTAGAAGATTAGAGGTTTTTAGGACGATTACACCGCTTGAGATTATCGTATATAAACGTTTCTTGTAGAATTTACAATCAATTCTCGAATGCGTTTTTCTACACTTGCGTGTAAAAAATACACATTTACATATTATAAAGAAAGACAAAATTAAATTTTACATGCTGATAAGATTCTTAAAGAAAAATTATAAGCTTTTAATAAACCATAATTTCTCTGTTATTTATAAATGCTTAAAAATATTTTTTTATTTCTAAGTTGAAAATTATTTTAAAAATTATTTATCAAGAATAAATATTTTAACACTTTTCATCATTAATGGTGCAAAGAAAAAATTGTATAAATATTATTAATAATTATTATGCTCTCTGTAATGTTTAGATACTTTTGAATACCGCCTGTCCGTAAGGTATAACGGGTCAACCATAAACAGGCGTTTTCCATCTTGGAAATGAGTGTAAGGTGTTTTAAAAAAATTATTGTGTTTTAAGAAAATATAATCTTTTGTATATTAATAAATTACGTAATTTAATTATCTATATAAATTATATTAATCTCATGTATAAATATTTTAATATTACAATATTTTACATATTAATATTTTCAATTGAATATCATTTGCATAAGAAATAATATATATAATGGATAATTATGTTTTTATTACTTACAATATTTCCTCGTGAAAGTTCGCAGTCTTGTGGTTATCTAATACTCATGTACAATGTATGGCTGAAAATAAGTTGCAGCTAATCTAATAAAATCAACGGTGACCATATGTCACATACACTAATCAGCTGATAATGTCAGATATATCGCTATAGAAACCAGTACCGCGTTAACGGAATACAAAAAAGAATTTCAACGAGCAAAACTACGAAACACAAGAATTGATTTTTTTTATTATAATAACTACTTTATTGTTTCTTTTGCGAATTACAAATCTTGATTATTTTCTCCTATAAGAATCCTTTAAAAAAAAATAACTCATTTATTTCATTTCTATTTTATTAAAATTATAATTATTAGGCTAGCGAGAGTTAGAGAAATAGTATGTTAAAAATAAATAATAAAAATATGTAAACAACAATCGCGCGCTTATTATGCAACTTTATTAAACAAATATCTTGTTTTAATGTGAAAAAAGCATGCGATGCCTATTGCCTAGTAAGTGAGTGTATTCAAAAGTGTATCTTGTGCACTTAATACTGCAGGATATGAGTTTGTGCAGGGATCAAAAAAACGAAGATAAAGGTGTTAACAAATGTGATTCGTGGAGTTTTAACTTCTTCAATCATGTTAACTCAAATTCAATCAATGTTTGTTATATTGAATAATTATTTATATTTCATATTTCAGTTATTATTAAAAATACGAATATAATTTATTATAAAATATTCCTTTTATTTTATAAAAATTTAAATTAGTCATTAGGTTCAGTTATTTTCAGACGTTACGTAATTTTTATTATGTTAACTTTTACTATTCGCTTTTCATTTTTTTGTCGTAAGAAGTGTGTTTTACTCAAGCGTGTTCAAACTTCACAGTGCATTTGCAATTTTTTGTCTTTACATTTATCTTGTCTTTACATTGATACTGCAGAACATTAACTTAATATAGAAACAATAATTTACGGTATCATTAAATTTTATCATGCAGGATTTTGGAACGTTCCGGAATTACTGTTTTATGTATTATCACGTGGTACTAGCAAACTCCGAGATTTGATTCCTGATCGCGCGCGATTCTACGGTAAATAATATAAGACCGGAACCTATACACTTCGGGAACGAAAAATGTCAAGAACACGTGTCGTCTGTTTGCACGGATCATGTTATCGAAGGATATTCACGTACATTCTAAGTGCACTGTCAATAATTTGTTCTACCGAAACAAACAAAATCCACCTTCTGGTGATGATTATGTTGAATTTTTAACTTCAAGTCTGATATTTGTGGTAAATCACGTGCGAATTGATCAGATAGCAACATATGTTACTGGAGGGACGATTATAAATGTTTCTCGCTTGTTTGTGCAATTTCCAAGCACGGAAAGTTACACGAGAAAAATTCGAGACATCGAAAGGTTTGTCGAATGAATGCCTTTTTCGTTAGAGTTGCATTGAGAGAATTCTGACCTACAATTACAATGTAAAATTTTAATAATCAAATTTTTATAGTCTAACAAATTATCTTAGAATCTTTACACTCATATTTGTTAAGATATTATAAAAAGAAAAAATTAAATATTAAACCTTTAGAAATAACTTATATCCAAGAATAACTTATATCCAAAGACAGCTTTATTATCAAAAATATAAAAAAATCCTGGATTCTTTAGTTTCTTGATTACGAATTGAACGTTATAAAAATGTGCTGAAACAATTACGAATCCTATAAAATTAAGGGAGAAAAATGAGAGAAAAATCTAATTATGAAAGAAGTTAAATTATCTTGTAGAGACAAAAATGTAAAAAAAGTTAAATCCTCAAATTTTTATTGTTGCAAATACGATTATATCCATCAGTTATATTGAATAAAAATGACGAATATTTTGTCCCAAAATCTGCTAAAATCCTTCTTTTCTACAGCTGCAAAACTAGTCAAAATCATTCTATTTTAATAAATAGAAATTTTATTTTTTATATTATACACATTTTGTTAGCTAAAACTATAAATTTTTCTAATTATATTATATTATATTATAGATATATTGTACATTATACATTGTATAATGTACATATTTGACGAAGAAAATTAATTTTTTAATAGTAATTTTTAAATATCTTCTAATAATTTCACATATTTTCTAACAATATTTTATTGGTCATTTTCGGATCTTTAAATCACATATGTAGACGCAGGTGGAATTAAACCCGAATCGACAGATTGCGAGTCAATCGCACCGAGTGGTAAGCTACTCGACGACCCATTCGATTATTTCTTAAACGATATACAAAAACACACGTCCAATTTGAAGCGTGTCCTTTATAATCTTTGTAAATAATTGAGTTAAATAATTAAATTTAGTTTATATCAAGATCAGAAAATTCGTATTTATTATCGTATATTTTAATATTGATGTTTAATGAAAATTTTTGTATTTGAATAACCAGTTTATTCTGAGCTTTAAATAGTATTTGAATCTAAGCATTCGGTTTTGTATAAGAATCTTTGATTTGGTATTACCCGATCTAAGATACTGTGTGGATATAATTACAGATAATACACAAATTTTTCGGAAGTCTGAGATGTGGAAATATTTTACTAAAACAGACAATAAAATAAAACGTAATGCAAAAATCGGATTTTTCAAAAATAATGGTGAGAGTACAGTTCGTGTTCACAAAATTGATGTCAAAGTTGATCGAAGCATCTATATTTTAATGATCAATGATTCAATGATCTGACTACATAGAATACGAAAACTTTTTACAACATTGTCTATCATGTTTAAGAATCCTACGTACCTATTATAGTTTCCAATATTAATCGATTAATAAATAATTTATTCATTAAAAAGTGCACTACTTTATCTGTATCGCGTGAGCTTCGATATAATTGCAAGATATTTTCCCAAAATTTACGTTGGGAAATTGCTTAGATCATCACAAAATCGCTGTTCAAACACTCGATTGCAATCTGATAATGAATTGCAATAGCACGTGAATTGCGACTTTCGTCGCACGTCGTAACGTTCTTGCGCTAAATTTCTCTTATGCCATAAACGGAAGATAGAACGTTTATGTGAGGTTATTACGGCACCGCTCGATCAATTTGCATAATTATAACGTTCCTAAGTAATTTTCCGGACGCATCGTGTGTTTATGAGCGTTGCACCTTATAAAAGTACATCGACCGGCTTAGCACAGATCCATCTTGAACGTATCTCACGCCATTCTTTCGAACGTATTGCAACGGTTCAACACGTGCTATTTTTTTTGCATATAAGAGGAAAGATTCATATTCCGCTAGTTTCTTTTTTGCAGATTGAACTTAAATCAGAAATGCAAGCGTATGAATAGTCATTTCTAATGTATTTTTGATAAATACGACTCCGTTGTCCAAAATCATTTATTATTTCATAATTTTGAGAAAAATAATGTTAAAGAGATAGAAAATGATGACTTCTAGGGTTTTCAGGACGTTGCAGCACCGACATCAATTTTTTTTCCTAATTTTAAGATGTCACTTTTCTATCAAAGTAGTAATATTTTATTATATAATTTATTTATTTATTTTATTATATAAAAGCAAAAATTATTATTG